CCTACACTAAGTAGTGTTCAACAAATAGTATGAAGAAAAAAAACACAGTTTCTCAAAAGTTGAGACAAGGTTTGTTAAAAATCATGGAATCTCGGGGCCAGCGCTGTGGCGTAGCAGGTAAAGCCACCACTTGCAGTGCTGGCATCCCATAGGGACATTGGTTCAAGTCCAGCTGCTCCACTTCCAATCCAGCTCTCTGTTATGGCCTGGGAAAGTGGTAGAGGATGGCTCAAGTCCTTGGGCCCCTGCACCCACGTGGGAGACCTAGAGGAAGCTCTTGCCTCTTGGCTCTAGATCGGCACAGCTCCAGCTGTTGCTGCCAATTGGGGAGTGAACCAGTGGATCAAAGACCTCTCTCTCTGTCTCTCTCTCTCTCTGCCTCTCCTTCTCTCTCTGTGTAACTCTGACTTTCAAATAAATAAATAAATCTTTAAAAAAAATTCATGGAATCTCAAAATGTCAATTTCACTCCTATAGATTACCTTTTAGGTACTCTATTAGTTACCACAGATCAGGGAAAATATATGGTATTTATCTTTTTGGGACTGGGTTATTTCACTATGCATAATGGTTTCCAGTTGTATCCATTTTGTTGCAAGTGACAGGAATTTATTTTAAACAGCTGTGTAGTATTCCATAGTGTGTGTATATATATATATACACACACACACACACACTAAATTTTCTTTATCCAATCATCAGTTGATGGACAACTGGGTTGATTCATATCTTAGCTATTGTGAATTGAGCTGCAGCTATTAGCTTTAGAGTCCTTAAAAACAATGACATCAATTTTAATGTTCTTGTTTTCCTAACTAGGAATTATAGCTTGGTAGTTTTCTTTAGCTTTGCATTCTGCCGATGTTGGTTTAGATACACTGGAGCCATAAATGTGATATATAGCATATGAGACCCATGTGTCTTGGGGAGATATCTATGTCTACTCATTTTTTTAAAAGAATCATTTCTTTTATCTCCTTATGCTGACATAGTTATGTGAGATATATTTGGAAGCATTGTCTTCAGACATAACAGTTATATGTTTATATGTGCTATAATGATTTTGCCAGTAGAGGAAAGGTCATATACCCATTCTTTAAAATAATTTTCTCTTCTGTAAAATAAATTATTTCATACTTAGAATATGTGTCTCTCTTTTTAAAATCTTTAGGCCTGAATAAATTACCTTTAAAGGTACTCACCATATCTCCCCCCCCCTTACCCCCCAGGGGTATTGGTAGTAAGCAAAATGATAACTTGGTCAGATGGAATAATTGTTTCCTAGAGTGAAATGTTAAAATCGATATTTTTTTCCTTTTGTGTGTAGAATATTTTCCCATAGTAGAACCTGGAACAAGTTCAGGATATTGGGAGTACCCATGAGTGCTGTTGTAGTTTATATGATCCAGTTGGGGTGTTTGTACGGGCCCTCTGGTGTTCATCAGTAGACCTGGATGCTCCATGCAGAGTTAATGTGGGATCAGCTGAAAATATTCTTCTACGTTGGGATGTGCTGGAGATTTGAAAGAAGTAACATAAAATGTAACAGTGAAAGGATCATCTTTGAGTGTACTTGTACCTCCAGAAAATGAGTGTCCTGCTTCAGGAATATAGCATTCTTTATTCATTCATTGCTGGGGAGAGCACCGGGCTCAGCTGCTGAAGGAAGGATAATTTTCCCCATGGGTGAGACAAGAACAATTTTATTTTATTGTGACTGAATTCAAGTTTAGTCTCTGAATCTTCTTGACCAGAAAGATGAACTGTGTCCTGAATCTTGTAAACTCTATTTTTAAAATGTTTTTTGATTTGCATTTCCCTGATTGCTAATGACCTTGAACATTTTTTCATGTGCCTGTTGGCCCTTTGGATTTCCTCTTTTGAAAAATGTCTATTGAGGTCCTTGGCCCATCTCTTAAGTGGGTTGTTGGTTTTGTTTTTGTGGAGTTTCTTGATCTCTTTGTAGATTCTGGTTATTAACCCTTTATCTGTTGCATAGTTTGCAAATATTTTTTCCCATTCTGTCGGTTGTCTCTTCACTCTCCTGTTTCTTTTGCAGTACAGAAACTTCTCAATTTGATGCAATCCCAATAGTTGATTTTGGCTTTGACTGCCTGTGCCTCCCGGGTCTTTTCCAGAAATTCTTTGCCTGTGCCAATATCTTGAAGGGTTTCTCCAATGTTCTCTAGTAACTTGATGGTGTCAGGTCGTAGATTTAGGTCTTTAATCCATGTTGAGTGGATTTTTGTGTAAGGTGTAAGGTCGGGGTCTTGCTTCATGGTTCTGCACGTGGAAATCCAGTTTTCCCGGCACCATTTATTGAATAGACTGTCCGCGCTCCAGGAATTGGT